TAGACGCAACATTATTCATATGCTTCACCTTGTCCCCTTTTGTACCCAGTCTCACAATTCATCCTTATTTGATGCATTTATACCGTTTTTCCCGCCCCCGGACAGACGACATTCTCCACATTAATGTTGGTTACTTTGATTTACGCATTCATTTTTTCCATGGCCTCTTTTGGCCTAACTGATATTTTCCTATCCCAAAAAGAGGTGATTTATCTTCAGATAGGGTAATTGCTAATCACCCAGAACATTTGCCATTAAACTCACAGCACCTGTTTTCGCTGGTGATCACTCCTTGACTCTCATCCTATTCACAATACACTCACAAGAACCAACCAAATCACCACTCCCCTTCGCAATTCCTCTCCTAGAAACACCTTCTAAAGTGTTCCATTAGTGACTTTCTGCTTGGTTTTCCTTCCGTCCTTCTTTACATAATGCAGTCAACTTATTCACTACAACTTTAAACTACATGTTGAACCTAGGCTTCTCTTTGGAACTTTTTTCCTGTAACGGCTAAATAGCACCTCCTTTGTTGAAATCATTCAGAAGACCGAAAGAACGATCGTACAAATGTAGATACTTAGAGGCTGTCAGATATTAAATTAACTGTTCAAAGCTAAAGTCAAACGCTTCTCTTTCATGTTCTGCAATTTAACAATGGTAGGCAAGTTTGTCAGGGTATCAAGTTCCTGTGTGGGACCCAAGCCAAATCTCCGGATTGTACTATGGAGTTGGATAGTTTTAACGCAGCATTTATCCGCCCATCAAGAAATTTCATCACGCCATTTTTTCTGGACGATGCCGTTCAAGTAGAGGGCGTCTCAAAAGAAGAAACTCTTGAGCTTTTGCGTACTGTGAAAATCATGAGCAATGTTGGTCCCGATGGTCTTTCATCTTCCCTTCTGAGAGATGGGGCCTATTCTCTCAGTGAAATATTCACATCATTTTGAACCATTCCTTAAAAACCTGCTCTATGCCAGACTGTTGGAAACCAGTAAAAATTGTTCCCATTCCCAAATCCTATACTTCAAACGTTGTAACCAAACGCTTTCGTCCTATTGCTTTGACCTCTGGTGGACGTAAGCTAGCAGAACGTGTTGTTCTTATGCACATTCAGTTCTCACTTGATGTCCCGTATGGTCCTCTTCAGTTAGCCTATAAGCCAAACAGATGCACGTTAGATGCAGTTTCCTCATTTTTACATAAAATTATCAAATCCTTGAATGACTGCGAAATCTGTTCGTTGTGTTTCTGGACTACTCATCTGCTTTTGATTCTATTCCCCGTTCCCCTCTTCTTCGTAAACTGGATACCTTCGCTTGTCCCAGGCACTTATTACCTTGTATTGCTGATTACTTCTCTGGCAGAACTGAATCTACTAGGCTAGGTTGGTTGAAGTTCAAACCACTGGTGAAAAGTTCTGGGGCACTCCAAGGTGCAGTCATTTCCCCATACTTATTTTACACATATTCGCACTTGTCTGCTACCGCCATCTGCTTCCCTCTTCAAATACACTGGCGATGAGATTTTATTTCAGACCATCCCCTATTCTTCAGGTCTTTCAAAATTCTTTTGCAATTTGGAAAACGTCCAACAGCTTTCCGCTACATACGGCCTCTCTTTTAGTCCCTTCAAATGTTTCAAATGTCGCTTTGCTTTCTTCTTTCCCATCTGAGTCGGTATCGATTGGCTCTAAACCAATATCCCGGTTAAACTGTTTAAATAACTGGGGTTTATATTGATGCTAATCTTCAATGGACTTTAAATGCAACATATCGTCAGTAAACTTCGACGATTTTCATTCCGTATCCACGAACTTCGTCAGTTTCATATTCAACAAGCGATTATTTTCAATTTCGTGTACCAGTGTATTTACCCCGTTTTACTTTATTAATCACCAGTCATTTTTTCAATCTCCTAAAGAGAGATTTTAAACTGCTTCGGTGTGGGCTGATCATCATTAGCCTCGTCTTTCAGCCCCACTGGAGGAAATGGTAATTACTCGGTGCGAATCCTACTTGACTGCATGACAAAAGTTTGCACATAAGACTCTTATCGACTCCACATAATCGTAACATACAGGTTTGACTCCCATCCGTTAGCTAGATCCCTATGTGTTCCCTCTCGAGTAAAAATATATCGTAAATCTGCGGTACCCTCTTCAGCACGTATTCTAGTTAACAAAAATGAGGTTTTCACGGACTCTTGTCCAATTGCAATCACAATTACGATTACAATAATGTGTAGAGCACTTTAAAGGTCATCTGCTCTCCCCCAAGGGTTCACTAAACGCGAGCTACTTATCTTGAATGGGACTCTGAATATTGCATATAAGCCCCATCGGTGATGCAAGATGCNGGATGCTTCTGAAGAAAACTGGGGATAAAAGCCAAAGATGTCTGACCAACATAAAAGAGGCGATTTCTAAGGTAAAGGCTTGCAGTTGGATTCCAAATGTCCTAACTCTAAAATATTCTCTCATTAGTGATTTGAGCTTCAGGCAAATAGAGAGAATGCTTCAAGCTACTCTGTTTTCGAAATGCAGTACAATGAGGCATCAACCTACCTGACGTCTACTCAGATGCAATTCGGATTTTTGTGGGCAAAGAAACACACGA